AAAAAAAAAAAAAAAAAAAAAAACAGAAAGTATTCATATTGACTTATTGGTCAAATTTATAGATTAATCAATTTTGATGAATCTATTTTTGTAATATAAGTAATGTCAGGCAATAAAATATATTTTATATACGAAAATTAAAATAAAAAAAGGAAAGATATTTTATTTACAGATATTAAAAAGTAATATTCATAAAAAAATATGAAAAATTCTCGACATTACAAAGAGATAGAGAACAATTCTTTATTGATATCGAATATTAATTTGAAGATATGGTGACTATTAAAAGAAGTTGGATTGGAAAGCAGGAAGGATGGTCGTTGAATTGGTTTGTGGTACTCATCAGACTGAAGGTAAAGGGGTTAGAAAAGGAATAGAGAAAGAGAGAGAATGAGAATGAGAATGAGAAAGAGAAAAGGAGATAGGAAACTACTGGACGACGAGGTCAACGATCAAAGAAATTCCAACGACATGAGGTCAGATCGAAGGAAGAGAAAGAGAAAGACAGAAACAGAGAGAGAGAGAAAATTAGTGAGAGGAATAGAAAAGGAGAGAAAGAGAAGGAAATAAAAGGAGTGAGAAATAGTAGAGCTTTAAGGAAAGGAAAAGAGAGAGAGAGAGAGAGAGAAAATGAGTGAGAAAAAGAATGACACGAATAAACTAACATAAGAGAGAGAGAGAGAGAGGATGAAAGAGAAAGAGAAAAACAGAGAGAAGGGAGAAAAAGTAGAGGAAAGAGAGAGAGAGAGAGAGAGAGAGAGAAAGAAGCTGGTGTAACAATGTCGGTCTATCCGGGTTTGTTCTGCCCTACTTCGCCCTTACGGGCAGCTTTTGTTCAACGTTCGTCGTCCTTTCGTTCGGTCCTCTTCGGATCAGATCAGATTACCGGCCACGAGGTGCTTTAGTCGGAGAAATGCGGGTTTCCATTGCACCGAATTGGTGACGTAAGGGGATTGGACCGCACGAAGGATGTGAACGAATTGGAATGAGAAAGAAAGGGTAGAAGGAGAAAGAAAATAAGAGAAAGAGAGAGAGAGAGAGAGAGAGAGAGAGAGAGAAAAGAGCCAATACATTTACCTTCGTTTTATATATACACACATACATCTTCCTCTCTCTCTCTTTTTATCTCTGTCTCTCTCTTTCGTTTTCTCACTTTCTTATTGATGCGTCTATACTTTATCGTCCACTTCTGGTCTCATCGTCTCCGATGTCTGTCGTGGTTCTCAAGTGGAAACCTTTCGACTACTACCCTTCTTGTCTTCGATTTACTGACCCTTTCCCCCCCCCCCCAACTTCACTTCATTTCACTTCACTTTTATCGTCTAGAGAGCGACACGACACTGATACTAGCTAAATACAGATAGGGGAAACGACTAATTTTTTCATCGACGATTATTTATACTCTATAGAATGTGTGTTTGATATATATTATTTATATATAATATTCAATATATTTTTAATTAAGATTTTTCTTTTTTTTTTTTTTGATCAAAAAGGAAAAGATTTGTTTTCTTTTTTTTCGTGTTATATAAAATAGTATCGATAATAAATAATATATATATATATATGTTAGCGTTAAAGCCGGATATCAGTCATTGTTAGTAATTTCTCGGCATTACTATTAATGCAAAATTGATATTTATTTATTTGAAATATAAACGTAAGATAAGAAACGTTCTGTGAAAAGTAGATTAGAAAATTCATATCTTTTCTTAGCTAATTTTCTTTACTATTATCTTATCTCGTATTATTATTATTATTATTATATTTATTATAGACGTGTGTTGATGTATGTGTATTAAAGTTTGAATTAAATTATCTTTTTTTTTCTATACTGAGACTATAATATACTCGCAAATGAAACGTGAGGTTATAATAAAGAAAAGAAATCAAAATGAAAAAGAAAGAAGAAAGAGTGGTGGAGGGGGGTGCGGGTTCAAAAGCTAGGGAAGATAACTTTTACTTTTCTTACCTGTGACGATAACGTTAATTTTTTTCACAAGAGGTGGATGAGTAGATACTTGGCACTTGTATAGTCCGGAATCCTTTGGCAAAGCATACAGGATCTGCAATTTCCAGTTACTTGGGTACCTGGTAGAATCAAAAGAAGGGAAAACTTCATTTCCTTTCTCAGTCGAGTGAAAGAAAGAGAGGACAAAGAAAGTAAAAGAGAGACGACAAACGCGGAATGGGATCGTCATCGTTGTGGTGGTTGGTTTGGTTACTACGAGACGATGGTTTTGTCGTCGCGAGTGAACCAACTTACGAGAACGTTTGATTTTCATGGCACATAAAGTCCCCGATTTCATTTTTTACTAGGGGAAGAAAAATAAAGAAGGGAAAAAATAAAAAGAAAAAAAAAGGAGGAAATATTAGAAATGATTTCTTTGTTAGGTGTAGAAGAAAAATCATGCTTTTCCCATTACGATATAAATAACCTTCACCCTTCGTGTAATTCAATTTTTTTCCTTCGAAATAATGGGTCTATCAATATTTTTGTTTTTTTGTTTCTCCCTTATAAGAAAAGAAGAAGAAGGAGAAGAAAAAGTGGGATAATCGAATATAACGATAAGGTGGTAATCGAAATAATCTTTTAATATTTTGAAGATTGTTAGAAGTATGAGAGAGAGAGAGAGAGAGAGAGAGAGAATCCAACTTACCGAAAATGAAGATTGATCCTTTCATCGATGCTATATGGAATTTTGCCAACGGTTAATAATCGAAAGGAATCCTTGTGTTGTTGCACCCAGGTGACCTAACAAACATTTCATATTAAGATGATTATTGTTGTTTTAATAGACACATTTTTAAAATAAATATCATGCGATATAAAATATAAGAGAAAACGTTGATTTTTTTTGTTACAATTGATTTTAAATTGATAACGATTAATTACTAACAATTATTAGTATTTCATAATAAAAGTGAACGTAATTATTCGAATACTTGTTCACAAAGATATTTCTTCGAATAAAGGGTTAGTCGTCCCGTTTCTGTGAATAGAACGAAACAAGAAGAGTTTCTCGCGAGCAGGATCATCCTGGCACAACTTAGAGTTTATCAAACGTTAGCGAATAAAAGTAGAGTTTCCTAGGAACGGTTTGAGTCGTTAGTTACAAAGTTAGTTTTCAGCCGCGCGACATTAGTCTTCGACACTCGTGCTTGGTTGGTTGCTTGCTTGCTTGCTTGTTGAGAGAGAGAGAGAGAGAGAGAATATGCGAGGTCAAAGTTTCATGGGAGGATAGGTAAGCAACTTCTCTGAGAATTTAACTCTGTCACTTTCGAGACTCGAATCTAGTCTACGGGATACATATATCGTCCGACTTTCAAGGATTTCTATCTTTTTAGTTTTATTACTGTTCATCCTGGTTGAGCAGATTTTAAGCAGGGTAAGTCAACGGTACATTTTGGTGTATCATTTAGTGGTAAGAGTCAATGTTTCGCAGTAACAGTAGTAAGACTCTAGATTTTACAGTAACACTGGTGACGATAATTTTGAATAAAGTACAATTATTTAAAATGATTTAATATTACGTATCATGGAAAGTTAATTATCAAAATTGTATATATATATATTTAAATCAAAATAAACATATTTATTATATTTTATGTGTCGTGCGTGTGTGTGTACAGTATTTTCAGTAGTACAAATTAATATTTGTACAGATAAAAATATAAAATCATTGATCGTTAAGAGTTAATTTAAGATCTAATCAATGTCAATGAAATTTTCAACATTCGATCTATTATAATTATCGTATATAAATGGTTATATATATTTTTATTTTTATTTTTTAATAAAACATATATTATTTTTTTTCTAATTTATTTTTTCACCATAGGGGTCATTTTTAGAAAGCTATGGATGATTCATAATAAAGTTTGTTGTTTTCGTAGGAGTCTCGAATCATTTGCTATTCTTGAAACGTATATACTCGTATATATATCAAGCAATATTACATACTTATATATATGTATGTATATCATATATATATAAATCTATATATATATATATATATTACGAATATCCAAGGTGGAATCGGAAGCACTCGTTTTCGTTCCTTGGCACGGCCGAACGCCACAATCGGTTTCACATTACGTATTCCGAAGAATATGAATCCCTGAGGAATTTCAAGCAACTTCGTACCGTACCTATGGCCCACGAGAATCTATGGGAAAGAGAAAAAAAGAAAAAGAAGGAAGGAAAGAGAAGGAAGAAAGAGAAAAAGAAAAAGAGAAAAAGAGAGAGAGAAAATAAACGATAAGGGTTCGGGTTTTTCAAAGTCGAGAAAGAGAGAGAGAGACACACACACTAGTAAAAGAGGCACTGATTGAAATGCGGAAAGTTTCTTGCTGACAAAATGTGCACGCGAATATCCGTAAAATAAAAGATAAAGAAACGGAGATAAGGATTAAATTTAAGTGTTTTCAATTACGATATCGTTTGTCGCACATTAAATTGTTATTATTTATTTTTTCTTTTACATTTATATTATTTCACATTCGTTCGTTCGTTCCTACATTTTGATTTATTAATTATTGGTTGGACCACATTTTTTAATATGAAAAAAAAAAAAAATAAAGATTATAAAATATTGAAAAGTGTTTCGATCAAATGAAAAAAAAAAAGAAAAAAAAAAGATATAAATATTTATTTAAATAAAAAAGGAAAATAGAAATATATAATATAACATACGTGCAATTTAGTTTTTATATTTTCACATAAAGTATTAAAATCGTTCAATAAAAAACAAAACTCCGGATGTGGGATAACTTTTCTCGGGAAGAGGGGGAGGGGGAATTTGATTTTACGAGTTTGTAGTGTGTTTGTGTGTGTGTTTTTTTTCCTATCTTTGTACTTTTTATCAATTCCTCGGAAACATTTTATGTTCTATAATACATCTCTTTCTCTTTCCACGATATAACGAATGAAATCATTCAGTATTCGTGGCTAGATTCTGGAATTGGGCAACCTCGGTAGATTAGTTCCGTTGTTCTTTCGCGTTTCGATTAAGGCTAATCACGATCGAAGCCAACGTTCGCCCACGAATCCCACGTAGTTGCGATTTGCATGAGAGAACGGAAACACGGACCTCGATAGATTCGCGTACAACCGTTTAATCTGATAACGGAAATGATATACATACACTCCGATATTGGAGCTTAGCTGACGGATTTACTTTCGGTAATAAGCTTTCTATATTAACGTTAGATTATATTTTTCTTTTTATCGGCCTAATCTATACGGTTATATCATTTTTTTTGTTCTATTTTTATATATTTTACACATATATATAGGTATATAATAATATAAATTTTAAAAGTGAATATTATAAAATACTAATAAATATGTTCAATAAAAATATTTCGATAATATAATATGATTATATATTTTTGTTCGGATATTTATATATATATATTTGAGAAATATGAAAAATAATGAAATTCTTACCTGTTTATCACCAAGCAAGCCGATCTTGCAGTCAAGGCTAACAGTACTACCGATCCTAGCAGTTACATTAATCTCTTGATCACCGTCAATAAAATACGGTCCAAATTTCCCTATAGCACTTTCAAGGCTCTGTAAAACAAATTTTCCACCCGACATAGTCTTAGAAGTTGTAGTAAATATCGATTGATTACGAATAATATCATTAACTCTTTCAATTTCGGTTTTAACCGATGGTTTGATCTCGTAGAAAGCTTTGGTCGATTTCTCGTTGGCAGGTATCAATAGCTCGTTCATCATTCTAGGACGTTCCTTCCTAGTTTCGGTGGGCATTTTAATAGGATTGTCGATTCCCATTGAACCACCGGGTACATTACTTCGAACAGATTTACCATAAGTGTCTGACAACCGGTCGTGTACTTTCTCGTTATCGTTTGTTTCTTCTTCTTCATCTTCATCTTCTTTTTTTTCTTCTTTTTCTTCTAGTAATTCTGGCTTTGGAACTTGAAAGGATATAGCTTTGATGTCATTCAGATCCTTGCGTTCGACAGATTCGGTAACACGAAGTATCGATACCGGTGAATCGATCGTACGTACGGTAAATGATTCCAAACGTCCCTGATCGTGTTCTTGATCAAGCTCGTTCTCTAAACGTAATTGTAAACCTGAAGATCGATGAAGCTCGTTCGATTTGACGTTACTCGAAGAGGACAAGGACAAGGACAAAGACGAGGACGAGGACGAGGATGAGGATGAGGACGACGATGACTCGACGTCGTTCCTGTTGCTGGTGCTACTATTACTACCACCACTATCACCACTATTACTACTACTATTACTCCTACTACTAGTCGAGGGAACCTGTCGAGGAACTTCCAGGAACGTAGCCTTAACTGTGACATTGGTTTCCGTACGGCTTTCGACGCTTGAACCAACTATCGACAAATCCCTGGACGTAGTGACGTCATTTGGTACCCTTTGACGTGATCTCAGTGGAGTGATCGTCAACCCTGAATCCTGTGTTAGATCATCCTGAATTCTAACTATAGGTTGTTGCCCTTTGTTTTCGTACCTTTGAATTCTCGACTCGATATTCTCGTCTTCGAGAATGTCAATTCTCTTTATATCTCCTGTATTATTATTATTATTATTATTATTATTATTATTATTATTATTCCTGTCAACGATAGTTGTCATCGTAATGGATAACGTTGTTAATTCCAATTTTCTCTTTTTCTTTGGATATGATAAACTTATCGTCGGATTAACATTTATTTTATTTCCAGTCAAATTGTTCTCCTTAGTATTATTATTGTTGTTATTGTTGTTATTACTATTGTTGTTGCTGTTGTTATTCCTCGTATTCCTGACGTTACCCGGAAAGTGTCGATGATCCTCATCCGTGTTCCTGGCTTCAGGATGATTGATATCAAGACCAATGGCGCCACCGTTCTCGGCTTCTGCAAATAGAAAAAGAGAAAGAGAGATATCGGAGTAAACAGCTAGATTATTCTTCTATTTCTCTTAAATTCTTATTGTACGTTTGGGGGGGGGGAGAGGAGGAGTGGCTGGCTAGTGGCCGAAAAGTGAGACAGACAGATTTATAGACAGATAGAAAGAATCAGAGAGAAAAAGAGAACGAAAGTGATTGAGTGAATGAGTGAGTGAGTGAAAGTGTGTGTGTGTGTGTGTGTGTGAGTGAAAGGAGTAATCGTTGAGAAGAAGAGAGATGGCCGTTGCTCGTCCGTCATGTCAGCTCGTTCGACGTGTTCAACGGAAAAAAGTCCTTACCAGGAGGATCTTTATGTCTGCTCGTGATCGAAGTCGTCGCTTCGAAGGATGAGAAATGATCGATTTCGGAATAGTACTACTTTTCATTTCTTGACTACTTCATTTTTTTTTTCTTTTCCTCCCCCCGTGACATCGAAAGGACAATTTTTCACCTATCTAAGATCATATATAATATAAATAAAATGTTGTTCTTCCTAATTTTCGGAAAAATGAAAAGAACTTGTAAATTTTTGTATTCTTTTTAATATTTCTTAGTTATTATATATTAATAATTAAACGAAAGACTTTTCAGAATGTTGTTTTAATCCACAATAAAAAAATAATATTTCTCGTCTCATATAAAAGTTCTCTATTATATTAAAGATATTATATTATTTAATTATCAATATTCTTGTCCATAAATAAATATTATTAATATAAGTCTTAAACAACATCTATAATGAAATTTTAAAATTCAATTATCATAACAGGACACACAAATAAAGGACATCATAATATTGAAGATACCTAGATTATTAAACACTAGTCTAGATAGAATCAGTATTTGATTACGTGTGATAAGATAAGATGTTTAGGAATAAATTGTATTGTAATATGTTAAGTATTATTAAAATGTATGACTCTGAAAGAAAGATAATATGTATATTGACACGTGAACTGTAAAGATCGAGGTAAAAAAAAAAAAAAGAAAAAAAAAATTATTGTAATTTATTGTAATGTTTTATATATATTAACAAGTCATAATAAAAAAATTTGTTAGTTGCTGATGAAGTCCCCAGTAAGAGACGAAACGTACAACTGGTTCAAAATAAATTGTTCATAAGATTTAACAACCGTCCAAAATTCCCTTTGTGACTTATATCAATATTATATTATGTTGAATTAATAAATCGTGAGAAAAAAAGGAAAGTTAAAAATGTGTACGTAATATTAGTTTATACGTATAAAAGTAAACCAGCTCGATTTCTCGATTTCCATTCGGGTATTTTGCTTTTTTCTTCAAGAAAAGAAAAAAAAAAAAGAAGATAAAAAAAAAAAAGAATAGTACACCAAGGATATTGCACGGCAAAGGTATTTCGATTTATTTCTCAAACGGGGTTGGGAAGGAGGTAAAGAAGAAGAAGAAGAAATGTCGATATTTGGACAAGAAATAAAAAAGAAAAAAAAAAAAAAAAGGGAAGAAAAATGTAAACGTACAGGTTTACTACAGCTAGTAGGAACGAGCGACCTTTCATCGTCTTGCAAATGTACCCATTGAGTTTCTGGTAAACCGGAATAAATCTTTCGCCCACAGTGTACCTATCCAACATACATACATACATATATACATACATACATACTTGGATACATGCATTTATGCATATATGCACCTTCTCAACACGCTTGACTATTTCTTATAACGTAAGTACGTTTTTGAGATATAATCGAAGAAAACTGGTGGTATTTGGAGAGCCAGTGTAGAATCGATAAGTGCAAGAGACAGATCATTGTACTATCAAATACCTATACTAAGAGAATAAGAAAGTCATAAAGTTCGTTGCATTTCGATTAAACGAAATTATTCTGAGCGTAAAGATTCTAAAACAAACGTGGTATCCTACGATTACGTATTTTTTTACCAGGATTTTCTAAATATCACTAGATAATCCCTAAATAATATATCTAATGTAATTTTTTTTTATTCTAAAGAAAACTACTGGAACGTTTGCATTTTTACCAGATGCATTTCTCTCTCTCTCTTTCTCTTTTTATGTTTATTTTCATTTACATTAATAAAAGATAAAAAAAAAGATAATAAAAAATGAAGATATTGAAAGAGAAGAATTAAGAAAAAACGTACAGAGATTTGTATTCGTCGGTAAATTTTTATCCAACTTTTCTTAAACGCGAATAAAGAATAGAAGAACTTGGCAACGGAATAATTTAAAACAAGAGAGAGAGAGTGAGAGAGAGAAAGAGAGTAGGGGGAAGAGGTACGCGTACACGCTCCAGATATTTAAGGTTTCAATCGCGATTGAAGTTAGCATGGAAGAAGAAGCCAGATAAGAAAATGAATGCTGAAACTTTTATCCAGACCTCTCTACCCCGCAATTTTCATCCTCCTACAACCCCATCCCCTCCCATCTTTCACCCCTAATATCCACGTAGACCACCAACTAACTCAAACACAATTGCGAATAGTTTACGTCATATATATGTTTGTTTGCGTGTTTGTTTCTGAGGAGTGCTTAAAAAATGGTTTTCATTTAAAATATTTCCTTTTCCAAGATGAAATTCGGATAAATAAAATTAAAAGGCGTTTTATTATATTACGGGGGATACAAAATTTCATGGGAATAATTTATCGTTCTTTATTTTATATTTCTATATAAATATATATGTGTGTGTGTGTGTGTGTGTGTATTTACTTATGTGTATCGTTTCGTATCAAATAAAATACTTTTAAGGATCTTACGATTGAATCGAGTTACGTAGAATGATATCAATTTTCAACGATATGTGAAATTATTGGCTTGTTCAATAAGTCGATACGATTATTGTCTTTTATTTGTTTAGGAATTGTTAAATCTGATCTAATATAGGTAAAAATTTAAGTTTAAAGATTTTTATTTAAAAAAGAAAATAATTAATGAAAATAATTTAATTCTATTTCTACTTCTCGTATATGTTATTTATTATTCTTTTTTTTTAATTTTCAAATGTTTCTTTTTAATTTTTTGCTTATTAATTAGATAGAGACACATAGTTGATTTTATTTAAAATTTGTTCAGTCATTTTGTGCAAAATAAAAAAATCACCGAGTCGTAAGATCTCATTTGTTTTTTTTTTTCTTTTTTTTTTTTTTTTGGTAGAATTCGTGTTAATTTCTACCTAACTCGGTTGCAATTAATAATGAACGTATTTATTTATTCACGAAGGAAAAGGGGGAAAAAAGAAAAAAATATTCGTATAATTATCTCGTGCAAGCTAAATTTTGTAATTTGCATTAAAGGTAGGAAATGTGTGGTTTAAAAAAAAAAAAGAAAAAAAGATAAAAAAAAAGAAAAAGTAAAAGAAGAAAAAAAAAACACATCATTATCGACGCGAAATTAAACGAGCTACATTATTTCCAACTTGTTAGCAAGTAGAACTTTCTCTCTCTCTCTCTTTCTCTCTCTCTTTCTCTCTCTCTTTTTCCCTTTCCCTTTCTTTCTCTCTCCTTGTGTGTTGTGTTTACTATTATTAAATCTACGTCCTATATACATATTTTACACACCTGAGGATTGCATATGTATATCAGGTATGCTTTAATACCCAGCTACGTGCATGTTACTTCCGTTATTACGTACTACCTTTCCTATTTTCAAGAGATAAATATTTATTCGCTTTTCGAGCTCGTAAAACGTTACCCCCAACTATTACTAGAACGAATAGTACTAACACTAATACTATCGTTCGTACACTCTCCCACATTAACTATCCAAACGAATTTAAATTGGCCATGTAGGATGGGGTTCGATTCGAATAATATGCATGTCAATATTCTTTCTACATTTTTCGTGTATTTTCGAACGTTAATAGTTATCTCGTTATCTTGAAAAAATATTATCACCAAATAAACATGTTTATATATATATTATAATTAATTATATATCAGTTATATAAATTATTATTATTATTATTATTATTTAATTAATATAATATTGATAAGATATATATATATATTAATTATGAACGTTAGAAACATGATACTCAAATAGAAAACCGTAAAATGATTTGGAATAGTAGAATTTAGTATTATGGTAAATAGTAAACGATAATTGTATAGAACTAAAGTAATTAGAAACATGAACAACTTGCTAACCATTATATATGGAAACACGTAAAACGAGTCGAGACGACAGAATTTAGCTATAAAGGAAATCAAACAAATTAATTACATGAAACGATAATAATAATTATAATAGAGAACGTTATAGTAATATTATAAATATACGGGACACGTGTAAAATATGTTTATGGTGGAATATTGTTTAATGAAAAATTTTGGTTTGTTGGATTAATTGTATAGAACTTATTGAATGTTTTGATGGTAATTTAAGTATGGTGTTTGTCCATTAGAAACTTTGATGCATGTATATTTATTCGTTAATACATATTTACAATAATTAATTATTTATAGATTGTAGAAGATATTCTTGCGATAAAAGCAGACGAGTACGTTTATAATGTTCGATGTATGCACATATATATATATATATATATATATATATACTTGAAAGTATATCAAACCTAAGTGCATATTTATGCATGTGATACCTATGGAGAAAGGCTTTCTCCTTCGTGTTTCGACAAAACAGGTGGTGAGATACGTTCTACGTGACTCGGGTTATTGTTTAGTTTAGTTGATTCGAGTGGAAAATGCTGCTGCACCAAGGAATACAAGATGAAATATGGACTTGTACGAGGACCTGTCACAACGCCCATATATTTGAGACTTTCATGCTTCGCTGCTTCATCGATCACAATATTTCTTATCTTATATATATATAAAAATATAAATGTGTGTGAACTTATACACATCTATATTATACATATTTTTATATACTCAATTTTAATAACATATATTTCCTATCTTAGTACACAATTTATATATGTTGATATACATATGTTACCGTTAAAATGTATA